TCATGTCGGCGATTACCGACACGATCAAGACAAGCTTGCAGGACAGAGACATGTACAGCGCAGCTGCGAGGGGCGCGGTAGGGGCGCTCAATCCTTTCAGGAGTAGGAAGGATCGCTCTCCGACCCGATGAGACTGCGCGCACAAAACAAACGCATGGGGAGACCTCCGCAGAGACGGCAGGGCCGTTTGTCCATCCTTTCCAGCACAATGTCACTTGAAAATGGAAGCAGTTAAAAAAGCGGCAACAAGAAACGGCGACAAAACGGCTCCGGATTGGAACGCGAACTGGCACCGGCAAGAAAACGTCGACGGAACCGGCAATAAAAACGGCGCCAGACCTGGCAAAAAATGCAATATTGAACCATAACATAACATACCATTACATAACATAAGGAGGAAGAGGAGGAGGAGGAGGAGGAGGAGGGAAGAGTGATTCTGGGTGAGGAAGGAGGAGGAGGAGGAGGAGGAGGAGGAGGAGGAGGAGGAGGAGGAGAGAGGAGAGAGGAGAGAGGTGAGTGGGTGGGTTCCCTCTCGGCGTGGTCGGAGTAATCCGCTGGCCCCCTTGCGGGGCCACCAGGCTGTAGGCCGGGAATGTGCTGCTGCCTGTATCAGTTGCAGCTTCTCGTTTCCACTGTTACAGTTCTGCGTCTTGCTGCTCACTGTTCCTTGTTGATGAACGCGCGAGCGGGGGGAGAGCCCAAACAGCAGAACTAGCACGCCCTGGGAGGGTTCTCAGAATTTCTGGGGGGGTAAAAATTGACACCCTTCACGCAGATCCGCAGGGTCAGGGTCCAAAAACACATGGGATGTGCCACATGTTGAAACTTCAATGACACCTCTCATGCAAATCGGCGGGGTCAGGGTTAAAAAAACACATAGGATTTGCCACGTGTTTGAAAGTCGGTGGCACCCCTCACGCAGATCGGCGGGGTCAGGGTCCAAAAACACAAGGGATGTGTCACATGTTTGAAATTCGGCGGCACCCCTCACGCAAATCGGCGGGGTCAGGGTTCAAAAACACAAGGGATCTGCCACATTTCTGAAATTCGGCTGCACCACTCACGCAGATCGGCGGGGTCACGGTCCAAAAACATCGGGGCTTTACTACATTTATGAAATTCTGTATCACCCCTCACGCAGATCGGCGGGGTCAGGGTCCAAAAACATATGGCATTTGCCACATTCCTGAAATTCGGTGGCACCCCTCACGCAGATCGGCGGGGTCAGGGTCCAAAAACACAGGGATGTGTCACATGTCTGAAATTCGGTGACACTCCTCATGCAAATCGGCGGGGTCAGGGTCCGAAAACACAAGGAATGTACCACATGTTTGAGATTCGGTGGCACCACTGACGCAGATCGGCGGGGTCAGGGTCCAAAAACACAAGGGATATGTCACATGTCTCAAATTCGGTTGCACCCCTCATGCAAATCGGCGTAAATTACGGAATGATCGCGTCCCCGAGGCCATACGTCTTCACAAATTGTGCAATATTCGCGCCCTCGAGGCCATAAACATTAGTATATTGCGAAGGCCTAACGGCCGGTGCCGCCGACCTTGAAGACGACGAAGATGAAAACGAGCGGGGGGGAGGAGAGGAGGAGAGGAGGAGGAGGAGGAGGGAGGAGGAGGAGGAGGAGGAGGAGGAGGAGGAGCGGGGGGGGGGAGAGAAAGGGTGGAGAAGGCGGATGAGGGAGGAGGAGGGAGGGAAGGATAAGGAGGAGGAGCAGGAGAAGGAGGAGGAGGAGGAGGAGGAGGAGGAGGAGGAGGAGGAGGGAGGAGGAGGAGGAGGAGGAGGAGCAGCGAGAGGAAGCGAGTAGGAGCAACCAATTCTGGAGGCCTCGGCTCTCGACGGAAATGGGAGGGATAGGGCGGGGACAAAACCTCTCCGAAAATCAATGAGTATGGCCTCTCCGGGCCTTCTTGAGAGTTCTTGTAGGGCTTTTTTGACCCGTCTGAGGGCCCCCTTTGGCCGTCCTCAGGCGTTCTTGGGCTGTCTTGCGGGGCTTGGTCCGTCTTGGGGCGCTCTTGCAGATCCGTCGTGGCGACCCCCCCCCTCCTCCAGCGCATCTACAGAGGGCCCCTCTGTAAAAGCCGCAAACGGGGGATGCGTATCTGGGTGGCGACCCCCCCCGGGACCCCCCCCCCCGGCGGGGAAGGGAGGGATCAAAGGGAAGGGGCTTCCCTTCGACGCATTTACGACGTTGCTCATTTTCGTTTTGGTTGGCGCGCTTGAGGAGGAGGGGGATGGCTCAGGGAAAGGGCGGGTAGCGCCACACGCCGACAGGGTCGGCGGATTTGACAATATTCGCGTCCCCGAAGCCATACGACCTCGTAAAGTATGCAATAGTTGCGTTCTCGAGGTCATAAACCCGCGTAAATTAGGCGATATTCGCGTCCCCGAAGCCATACACCCTCGTAAGTTACGTAATTCTTGCGCCCCCAAAGCCATAAACCTTCGAAAATTATGCAATAGTCGTAGTTGTGAGATATTCCGCAGTTTGTGAAGTCCTGACACTGCTTCACGTCAGTGTCCAGACATCCCAACACAGCTCTGGCAAGTCCCATTGGGGTGCCGGCGGCATGGGGGCGAAGCCCTTACGGATAACAAAACCCCATTTGTTGGATATGGGGAAGAACTACAAAACGAAACCGGTAAAAAACATGGCCCTGTCGTTTCCAAGGCCCACGAAGTTCTGAGCTGATCTGTGGGCGTCGTGGGTGATGACTACAGTGGAGACCCATGCCAAAAAAACACCCTGCTCGTCTCCAGGGTGCCCTGGGTGTCGATGGTTTTGCGATGGAGAGCGCGACGTTCCCACACCAAAAATCAATGGACTTCCTTGGGTTCCAGGGTTGGGTTTATTGTGGAAGGTTTCTTGTGGTCGGGCCCCTACCGTAGGGGGAGGGGGGATATCATGGCGGTGGCCATGATATCTCCCCAGATTTCATGGCGCCTCTTCTTATCTCGATACGTTTCCTGGCCCCCCCTGGTGCGCGCACATGCCTTCCACACACACACACACACACACATTCACGCGCGCGCACACACACACAAACAAACAAACACCTTTTGGGTGCCCCCCTCTTGGACTCCCCCAATCCAGGGCGGCCCGAGGAGGTGTGTAGGCCAAGTGGACCTGATACCCAACGGGTGGCAAGGTCGCAAGATTGACCCCCCCAAAAAAACGAACTCGAAGTACGAAATAGCTTCAACATTATGTTGGCCCCTCGATCGAGCTGGAGGGGCTCTCTGGAAGCCTCGAGGGCCTCCTGTCGGAGGCTGCCGGAAGGGTTCGTTGGGCAAGGTTGGTTGCGCCAGACTTGAGCCTCCCCCCCAGCCCGACCTGAGGCCCCCCAGCTCGACCTGAGGCACCCCAGCAGCCTCGGGGGTGGACAGAACCCCCAACAGTGACACGTCGATTAGTGAATTGTCCGTTTTCGGTTTTCGAGAGGGCGCCGTGGACGTTATTTTCCAGGCTTGCGCCCGCTTTGGGCCCGAAGTCGTTTTCACTAAACCACGTTTTACTAAAGGGAGGTTTGTCATCCCCGACAGCCGTCGAAGTTACCTTTCTTGAACCAGATTTGTTCGCCGTTTCCGATCCTGGGGGTGCTGGAGCCGTCCCGGGAGGTCATTCGAGCGCGAGAAGGAGTCCAAAGGCAATCCCCGAGGGTCCGAGGGTCATCTCTGGGCGATTGAGAGTCTGCTTGTAGTTGGTCGTGAGCTGTTTCGTGCTGGTCTGGGGCCGTCCTTGGATCCCCTGGGGACCGTCCCCATAGCAGTCTTGGAAGACTTCTGGGGATCGAGGGTCCCAGAGATCCGCCACACCGCCACACCGCAGACTCTGCAGCTTTGCTCTGCCGAAGCGAAAAGCGGTCAGACCTGGCGATGAGAGGCGAGGGTCTGCGTCGTGGGGGGGGGGGGGTGATGTTTGACTCGCGGGGGGGCACCTATTGCCTCGACTCGCGCGGGGGGGCACCTCTTGCATCAGATCGACTACAGTGGAGACCCATGCCAAAAAAAGACCTTGCTTGCCTCCAGGGTGCCTTGTGTGTCGTGGGTTTCCTGTGATGGAAAGCTTCATGTTCCCATTCCAAAAATCAATGGACGTCTTGGGGTCTCAGGGTTAGGTTTCGTGTGGAAGGTTTCTTGGGTCGGGCCCCTACTGTAGAGGCGTGACGTGCACCCGCCGCGCTGTGGGCGCGGCGGTGCCAAACCGTGCGGTCGGCGGCCTCAGCATAGAGCGTCTGGGGTGCGATGTCCCCGCGCCTGTTTTCCGAGGCCCTCCCTCTCTTGTCAGCCTCGCGCGCGGTGCTGGCTGCCGCCTGGCTTGAGCGCCCTCCTCCTCCTCCTCCTCCTCCTCCTCCTCCTCCGCCTCCTCCTCCTCCTCCTCGTCCTCCTCCTTCTCCTCCTCGTCCTCCTCCTCCTCCTTCGCCGCCGCCTCCTCCTCCTCCTCCTCCTCCTCCTCCTCCTCCTCCCCCTCCCCCGCCCCCTCCCCCTCCGCCCCCTCCTCCCCTCCTCCTCCTCAAGAACAAGCCTCCTCCTCCCTCCTCCTCCTCCCTCCTCCTCCTTCTCCTTCCTCCTCCTCCTCCTCCCCCTCCCCCCCCTCCCCCCCTCCCCTCTCCCCACTCCCCCCGCCCCTCCCTCCCCCTCCCTCCTCTCCCATGCCCGCCTCACCCTCACCCTTCACCCTCCCCCCCCCCCCTCCACTCTGCCCCTGGTCCTCCTGGTCCCTGCCCCTGCCCCTCCCCCCTCCCCCTCCCCCATCCCCCTCCTCCATTGCTTGTCTCAGTAACTCCTCCCTGTCGCACCTCGAGGCTAGTTGTTAGGGCGGGCCGGGCGTTTTGCCTGAGATTTCCTCACCATGTATGATTCTGCAGCTTAAGATTGGCGACAGTTTCACAGATGGAGGGCGGGTCGTTTTCAAAATGTGGCTCTCGCCTTAACGCCGCGTACAGTCGTTCTACAAGTTTGAAGAGTTTCACGGGTTGAGGGCGAGTGGTTTTCGAAATGTGGTTCTCGCCTCAGCGCCGCGCACACTCGTCTTTATAATGTACAAGAGTTTCACAGATTGAGGGCGAGTCGTTTTCGAAATGTGGTTAGCGCCTTAGCGCCGCGCACAGTTGTTTTATCAATTTGCCAGAGTTTCACGGATTGAGGGCGGATCGTTTTCAAATTGTGGTTATTTCTTTAGCGCCGCGCACATTCGTTTCACAAAATCGCAAGAGATTAATTAACGTATTCCCATGATCAGCGTACCAGAAGCGGCGTTTAGGAAGGATTCAGGATTACGCGGGTTCAATTGTTACGTTGGTTCGCGGTGTTGAAGTCCCAGGGATGGCGTTCTGGCACGATTCCGGATCGTCAAGACGTAACAGTCAGGTTGATCCGTGGTGTTGGAATCCAGAGAACAATGTTTATGCATGCCTCAGGGTCGTCAAACGGTTGTCTTCCAACGAGGCAGTTCCCTCGATGAAAATGAACCGTTATTGGGGCCTCTAATGATGGAGTTTGGAGGGAGGGGTTATTCCAACATCGTTGATGACTGTCGGGTTTACACTTGTCTTCTTCCTCCGCCTCCACCTCCTCCTCTTCCTCCTCCTCCTCCTCATCCTCCTGCTCCTCCTCCTTCGTTTGACGCAAGACCAACCTGAGCGTGACGTTGTGGCGTTAGACCTCCTCGTCCTCCTCCTCCTCTTCCTCTTCCTCCTTTTCCTCATCCTCTTCCTCCTCCTCCTCCTCCTCATCCTGTTCCTCATCCTCCTCCTTCTCCCCCTGCCAATGCCCCTGCCCCTGCTGCCCCTCCTCCTCCTCCTCCTTCCTGTTCCTCCTCTTAGTATTCCCTCTCTTCCTCCTCCTCCTCATCTTTCTCTCCCCCCCTCCTCCTCCTTCCTCCTCCTCCTCCTCCTCCTCCTCCTCCTCCTCATCATCATCATCATCATCATCATCATCATCATCATCATCCTCATCCTCATCCTCATCCTCATCCTCATCCTCCTTCGATCCTCTTCCTCATCCTCCTCCTCCTCTTCCTCCTCCTCCTCTTCCTTCTCATCCTTCTCATCATCCTCCTCATCATCCTCCCCATCCTCATCCTGCTCCTCTTCATCCTCCTCCGTTTGACGCTAGACCAACCTGAGCGTGAAGTTGTAACCTTAGACCTCCTTCTCCTCTTGGTCCTCCTCCCCCTCCTCCCCTCCTCCTCCTCCTCCTCATCATCATGCGCCTCCTCCTACTCATCCTCATCCTCATCCTCATCATTTTTCCTCCTCCTCCTCCTCCTCTTCTTCCTCCTCCACATCTTCCTGCCTCCTCCTCCGCCCTCCTCCTCCTCATCATCATCATCACATCATCATCATACCCCAAAAATTACAAGAAAATCATCGTCCCTCCGCCTCATCCTCCTCCTCACTCCTCCTCCTCCTCCTCCTCCTCCTCCTCCCTCCTCCCTCCTCCTCCTCCCCGTGCCGCCTGCCCCTGCCCTGCCCTTGCTGCCCCTCCTCCTCCTCCTCCTCCTCCGCCTCCTCCTCCTCCTCCTCCTCCTCCTCCTCCTCCTCCTCCTCCTCCTTCTCCTCCCTCCTCCTCTCCTCCTCCTCCGCCTCCTCCTCCTCCTCCTTCCCCTCCTCCTAATCCTCCTCCTATCCTCCTCCCTCCCGCCCCTCCTACTTCTCCTGCTCGCCTCCTCCTATCCTCCTTCCTCCCCTCCTCCTCCTCCGCCTCCTCCCCCTCCTCCTCCTCCTCCTCCTCCTTCTCCTCCTCCTCCTTCTCCTCCTCCTCCTTCTCCTCCTCTCTTTCCCCTTTTCCCTTTTCCCTTTTCGCAGTTGGTTGCGCGCTGGCGCGCCAGGCCCCGCTGGGCCAGGACGGGGGCGTCGACCGCCTCGAGGGCCTATGGGCCCCCCGTTCTTGCACCCTCCCACGCCCAGGTTGCTCTTCACGCACCTTGGTCACACATGTCCGCACGGCCCCTACCAGGGCAGGGGGCGGGCGGAGAAAGGCCAGGCCGACGGCGACGACGACAACGAAAGCGACGAGGGGGACAGAGAGACAGACAAGAAGGAGGCGACGGCGGCGGCGACGACAACGACGCCGACAACGACGAGGCTCACAACGCCGGCGACGGCACCGACACCGACGGCGGACGGAACGACACCCACCACCAGCACAAGGCTGACAAGGGCAACGGCGACGACAGCCACCCCACCGGCACAGCAAAAGCAGCCACCCCGACCCCCCCCCCAGGGGCGGCGGAGAAACGAAAATTGGTATCGAGACCAACATCTGCATTCCCTTGTTACACATTTCCGTGCAGCCCCGCCACAGGGGGCGGGGGGCGGGCAAGGGGAGAGGCGACGCCGCCGACGGCGACGACCACGGCGACAACGACGAGGGCGACAACGGCGACGACGACAGCGACAACGACGACGAAGCCAAAAGCAACGGCCACAACGACAACGACGGCCGAAGCAGCCGGCCGCAAGCACCCGGCAACAAGGCACCGAACCGGCAGCACGGGCACGGCAAGGATCGCCAGCAGCAAACCCGCAGCCACCACTCCCCCAAGGGGCGGTGGAACCAGAAAATCTGGAATAATGGTACTGCTGTTGCCAAGGCCTCGCAAACCTGGCCAAAATACACAAGTCTAGAAAGCATGTCCTCCACCGTCGGCGCCCCTTGTAGCACCCACCGCGCAACTGCCGTAGCGCCTCTTCCAGGCATTTCTTGCCGCAAAACCGCCGTTACGGTGCAGGTCGCCAGCAGGTGGTCCAGTGTAGCCTCGCTACTTTCGCATAACGGGCAAGGCGCGACAGCAGGGACCAGTCCTCCACGGCCCCACGCAACCAGCGGAATAGAGCCAGTGACTCGTGCAATAATCCACGCCCTGAAATACTTCCAAACACGACGGTTCCAAGCGGCCCACTGTAATCCCAACGGGGACGGCGAGCGCGCCGGGGCCAGAAGCGCGTACGGTGCATTGCCCACTACTGGCAGGAGAGCAAGCTGCTCGCAGAACCACTCCTCCTCCTCCGCACGCCTGATGGCAGGCACAACCGCTGTGCGCTTCCACTGCCCCACCACTCTTCCTCCTCCTCCTCTTCCTCCTCCTCCTCTTCCTCCTCCTCTTCTTCCTCCTCCTCATCCTCCTCATCATCATCATCCTCCGCTCTCATCGTCCTCCTCCCCCTCCTCCTCCTCCTCCTCCTCCTCATCCTCTTCCTCCCCCTCCCCGTGCCCCTGCCCCTGCTGCCCCTCCTCCTCTTCCTCCTCCTCCTCTTCTCCTCCTCCGCCTCCTCCTTCTTCTCCTCCTCCTCCTCCTCCTCCTCCTACTCCTTCTCCTCGTCCTCCTCATGCTCCTCCTCCTTCTCCTCCTCCTCCTCCTCCTCCTACCCTCCTCCTTCCTCATCCTCTCCTCCTCCTCCTCCTCCTCCTCCTCCTCCTCCTCCTCCTCCTCCTCCTCCTTCTCCTCCTGCTCCTCCCCGCAGGTTCGCTGCAGGAGCGCCCACGCCCGCCCCACCCCAGGGCGGCTAGTCAGGGATCAGACCTCTTTGGTATGCTCGTCTCTTCCTCCCTCTAGTCCTCCCCAGCCCCTCCCCTCCGCCCGCGCCATCCCAGTCCCGCGAGGGCGCCACAGAGGTGGCAGAGGAGGAAGAGAAGGACGATGAGGACGAGGCGGAAGATGGCGACGAGGGCGACCCCTCGCTCCACCAAGCAGCGGTGGACATCCTGCTGCGCGCCTCTGCGAAGGCTAGGCTTACGAGCATGCTTTGTCCTTCTGCCACCCGCGTTATCATGAGACCAGTGCGCCCTCAGAGGAATGACGAGGAAATTCGTTATTATCAGCCTTTCCAATCCGCCAGTGTTTGATTCGCCAACTCTGTCGATGAATACGATTACATTGATGGATCTGCTGGCGCAGATGATGTGGCAGGCCGTTGACGCGATCACGAGGATGGGCCCGAATGGGAACGGCAAGCATGCAAAGTGTGTGATGGATTCGGAGGGACGGGGAAGACAGGTGTGAGAAGGTTGAGGAGGGGAAGGGACGGGGAGAACGGACGGGGAGAACGGACAAGGAAGGGGAGGAGGAGTTCGTAGACGCCCACGTACAAGCGCTCGCATTTCCCGCTCGCTGCATGACACACCAGGCCGAGGCCTCATCGCAGGCCCGCCGAGTGGCTGTGCGCGCGCGCCCGCGAGAACGCGCGCGCGCTCGCGCCCCCGGGCACGCGACGTCTTGATTTCTTCAGCACGGGGTCCCCAGGAGTCGCGCCCCACGACCCAGGGCCAGTTTCTCATCATGAGCTGTTTTCGACGGTCTCGTGCGGGGTCCGGTGAGGGGTGAGGGCCTCCAGAGGCCGAAAGCGGCCAAAGACCTCTCGCCGCGAATGTTGTCACGGCGCGAGCACGCATCTGGGCCGTCAGCAAAGGGAAGAGCTCCTCCTCCTCCTCCTCCTCCTCCTCCTCTTCCTTCTTCTCCTCCTCCTCCTCCTCCTCCTCCTCCTCCTCCCCTCCTCCTCCTCTCCCTCCTCCTCCCTTCCTCCTCCTTCCTCCCTCCTCCTCCTCCTCCTCCTCCTCCTCCTCCTCTCTCCTCCTCTCCTCCTCCTCCTCCTCCCCCCTCAATCCCTTCCCTACGAATAACTCCTCCCTGTCGCACCCCCCGACGGGTCGGTAGCTGAGCGTTTCGCTCGAGATTTCACCATTTATCTTAGAGGCTTACGCCAGCCCGCCGACCCCCAGAAGAGGGAAGAAGTCCACGGTGAGGTTTTGGGGGGCCTTTGGAGACCGTTTCGGAGCCTCTGGGGGGCTTTTGTGGGTCTCTTGGAGCCTTTTGGGGGGTTCTTGAGCGCCTGCTGGGGGTCTCCGGGTGCCTTTTGGGGCGGAGGTTCGAAATTTCAATTTCAGTTACCCCTCTTGGGCCGCTCTTGAGCCCTGTTGGGGCGCCTGTGGGCCGTCTTGGGCGCCTCTTGGGCCGTCTTGGTTGGGCCCTCTCGGGGGGTGCTAGGGCCGGCCTGGAGCAATCTCTTGGTCGTTCTTGAGACGTCTTAGACGCTGTTCAGCCCCCAAAAAAAACATATATGCTGGAAATGCATGTTTTCCCATGGGATTGGGCGATTTGTGTTTCTTGGGGCATTCTCGGCAGTCCGCTGGGAGCACTCTTGGGCTCTCTTGGGGGCTTCGAGGAGTGTCTCGAAGTTATCTTGGGTCCTCCTGGGACTACCTTGGGCTGTGTCGATGGTCGCGTGGACTATCTGGGCACGCCGTTTGGGCTCTCAGGGGCTGTCTGGGAGCTCCGTGGAGGCTCCAGGGACACACGGGGGTTATTAAGGAGCCCGAACACCCACCCACCCTAGAATGGGATTCTGGACCCTTGGGGAGGGGGAAAGGGGGAGGGGGACCGCCGAATGTTTCACACACCTTTTCACCCCCGGCAAGCGGGGGTCGGCGGATAATTGTGAAGTTCGAAATGAGCAACAATTTCACGTGTGGAGGGCGGGCCGTTTTCACAATGTGGTGCTCGCCTTAGCGCCGCGCGCATGTGTTTTGAAACATTCAAACAGTGTCATTGATGGAGGGCGGTTCCGTTTCTCAATGTGGTTTTCGCTTTGGTTCCGCTCAAATTCGCTTTACAAGATCGCAATGACTACATGGTTTCGTATGGTTGGAGTCCCAGGGATGGTGGTCTGGCACGACCCAAGAATTGCATTCTGACAAGACTTAGGGCTGTCAGGACGCACCAGTCGCTTTTGTTTTCGGCGCTGATGTCACAAGAGCTACGTCTGGGCACGATTACGGATTCTCAAGCGTTTGTCTTCTAATGAGGCGTTTTCCTGCAGTGAAGTCTTCTTCTGGGGACCTAGGAAGAATGAACTCGGATTGCAGCGTCGTTGTTGCGACTTGGGCTTAGAAGTGCCCCCCTCGTTATCCTCGCCCCCTCCTCCTCCTCCTCCTCCTCCTCCTCCTCCTCCTCCTCCTGCTCCTTCTCCTCCTCCTCCTCCTCCTCCTCCTCCTCCTCCTCCTCCTCCTCCTCCTCCTCCTCCTCCTCCTCCTCATCCTCCTCCTGTCGTGATTTGGTTGACGGCGCGAGCACGTGTCTGGACCTGTCTCCAGACAGCATGCGCGCAGCTGCCGCCCTCCGCCGGCAGACCACGGCGCGGCGAGCCCGCGCGCGCGGCCGGCGGAGAGCGCAGCCGCAGCCCCCCCGCGGCGCGCGGCGAGGCGAGGGCCGCCAGGATAGCCGCCGGCGAGGACCCGCGCCGCCGCGCCAGACCCCCGCGCGCCGTGGCAAAGCCGGGCAAAGAAAGCACCACGGACTGCCTGTGAAAAGCTTCGGCCTCGGGGGGCCCTCGCCGGGCCTCGGGACCGTCGTGCGCCCGTTGGACACCTGCGGGGACTTCGCCGAGACCTGCTTGGCCTGAGCCTCCAGCGACGCCTTGAGATCTGGATCCCTCGCCACTGAGAGAGCCTGCTGCAAGTGAGTGAGGATCACCGCGTTGGCCGTCCGTTCGCCTACAGATCCTCTGAGAGAGTTGCTTGGCGTCGAAGCACGGCTGCCTCCTCCACTCATCGCCCCATCGTTAGCATAGTCACAAGTGAGATCTTGCGTGAGATGCCCTTCGGAGCGGTATATACTCTAACCTTGCCTCCACACTTGCACTTCTGATCCCGCGATACAAGAACGGTATTGTGCTAAGAGGTTCCGCATGCCTTGCACATGGACCTAAGGCACAACATGATGTGATGAAAAACCTCGGCTTTAGTCAATTCCTTGGCAGAAGAATGAGAATTTGCAGTGGGGTTGTCCCTGAAGCGCCTCGGGCCGACACCGAGGAAGGGCTCGCAGCTAAATGCCTGATCCCCAATAGCTTGAGGGTTGAGGTGAGGAGGAACAAGAGGAGGAGGAGGAGCAGGAGGAGGAGTGGAGGAGGAGGACGAGGAGGAGGAGGAGGAGGAGAAGCAGTGGAGAAGGAGGAGGAGGAGGAGGAGGAGGAGGGGAGGAAGAGAAGTGGAGGAGGCGGAGGAGGAGGAGGAGGAGGGAGGAGGAGGAGGGAGGAGGCGAAGAATGAGGAGGAGAGGAGGCTGAGGAGGAGGAGAGGAGGAGGAGGAGGAGCAGGAGGAGGAGGAGGAGGAGGAGGAGGAGGAGCAGTGGGAGGAGAGGAGGAGGAGGAGGAGGAGGAGGAGGAGCAGGAGGAGGAGGAGAGAGGAGGAGGAGGAGGAGGAGGAGGAGGAGGAGGAGGAGGAGGAGGAGGAGGAGGAGAGGAGAGGAGGAGGAGGAGGAGGAGGAGGAGGAGGAGGAGAGGAGGAGGAGGAGGAGGAGGAGGAGGAGGAGGAGGAGGAGAGGAGGAGGAGGAGGAGGAGGAGGAGAGGAGGAGAGGAGGAGGAGGAGGAGGAGGAGGAGGAAGAGGCAGAGGGCCCAGCCGCCCAGGAGTCCGAGGACGAGTCCGTGGCCCCGTGCCCAGACTTGCCGTCGCCCTGCCGCGGGCCGGAGCGGCGGGCGCTAGGCCGGCGCCCCCTTCCCTGGGGCAACAAGAAGTGTCGAAGACCTACGATCAGGAATTTCGGCTTAGCGTGTCGCTCCACCAGCTCACCACGCTTCGGCGCGACACGCTATCTACGTCCCAGTCCCGAAGCGTCCACGTCCCGAGCCTTTCCGAGCCTCCCGCACCGCGGAGCGGAGCGACACGCTATCCGCTCGCAGGGCATGCAGCCTGTCGCCGGGGCCGCCGCCGCGACACGCTGAGCAAGAGTTCCCGATCGTAAGCTAGAGTGGTGGGTCTGGCGTGCATGGATCGGCGGCGAGAGGTGCAATCGTTCACTAATTGCGCCCTGGCGCGTGCGAGTGTACGCAACGACTGCTGGAGGCGCCAACTACGTATTGCACGGCAGAGGTCGCAGACCTCAGCTGGAGTGGTGGGTTTGGCGCAGATGTGTCGGCGGCGAACTGTCCTGGGGCCTGGGATCAAAGGCCCGCCCGGCGCCGTGGGAAAGGAGGCGGCGCGGGCGTTCTCTGGGCCCTTCCGCGCCCCTCCGCCAGTGGCCGTGCGCGAGAAGTCGTCGGGCTTCGCTGCGGCAAGAGCCGCCTCGGGAGCGGCGTCGCGCCCTGGCCGGGCACGTCCCTAGCACGCCGTCCTCAGGCTTCGGGTCTAAGCGGGAGTGGGTCGGGTGAACAGGGGTCGGCGGCAAGAGGTGCCATCGACTTTGTGTGAGCTATTGCGTAGTGTCTGGTTGCTACGCCGCCCCGTGCTCGCCGCCAGGGGTGCTGCACCGTCTCGGCCGCCCCGGGCACTCCGCCGCGGTCCCCGTTGCGTGAGCGCGCTAGGCCCCTCCCTTCCTTCTGCGGCCGACCCTCGTTCCCCTTTCTTCCTCTGGCATCCAGGCAATTCGCAATGCCGTCTCACGGTTTGCTGAGCGCGCGTACGGACTGCCTCTGCTGCGCTGCGACGGAAAAAGTTAGTTACTGCGCGCGACCATACTCAACTATTGTTGGGGGCGCGACCTGTTGCACAGGCGACAGCTACTGCGTGTTACACAAAGCTACACGACCGACTGCATGCACGCGCAGCTAACGTATCCAGCGCGGAAAGTCTTGCGTCTATTGCGTCCAGGCACCCACGATTGGAAGTATGATTGCACCTCTTCCCGCGGACGCGTCTGCGTCAGACCCACAATTCCGGGCTTAATGGAAAAATTGCACGAACACAGAAAGGCGATGATCCGCACGGACGTCTCGGACTTGCGCCAGACCCCTTGGCGGCGCCCGAAAGTTATTTGTTTAGCAGAGCCGCGGAAAGCAATGCCAAGCAACGCAAAGCAACGCAACACAAAGCAACACAAAGCAAGGTAACGCGATGCAGAGCAACGCAGAGAAAACAAAGCAGCTCAATGGAACGCAAAGCAAAACAACGCAAAGCAATGCAAAGGAACGCAGGCACAGACGGCAACGGGGCGACGACGGCGACCACACGACGGGGCGGCGACCGCGACCACGTAGCCGCCAGACTGGCGGGCAGACCCAAAAGACGGGCGGCGACGGGGCGGCGACGGCGACCACGTATTCGCCTGACCGACAGGCAGGTCCAAAGCGACGGGGCTGCGACGGCGACCACATAGCCGTCATACCGACGGGCAGGCCCAGTTCCGTAGAAACGAAGTAAGAATCCCTAAGTACAAGCACTGTTTGGGGAACTATGAGGGGAAAGGTCGGCAAAAAGGTGAATGTAGCCCTGGCACAGTTGGCTCCGGAGGGGGTCCGCCAGGGGAGCCAACGCTTGCTTTCCCAGACAGCGGAACAACAAAGCTGGTTATGGAACAGTTGGAGGCCCAGAGCAGCGCAATTGGCGGAAAGATTCCTTGGGAAGGGTACTGGGTGAGGAGGAGAGAAGAGGAAAGTTGATTGATGCCGTCACCCCTCCTCGTTCCAAGATGCTCGGTTGTCCGTCGCAGAGGCAAACAATTTCTTATGAAGTGTAGTGGGGATTCGTTGAGCGGGCTACGGCAACCATGCCGCAGACAGCCGCGCCGCGGAGGTGAGCAGAACGATGCGCATCGGAGGTGTTTAAAGACAGTATGGAGCGATCGCCATGGTGAAGAGCCTGCCTTGCGACGCACACTGGTGTTCTCACCAGACCCCCTGTGTTACAATGAAGCGCAGGCCGCGATGCAAGTCGATTCGGCGGCAGGAGGAGGAGGAAGAGGAGGAGGAGGAGGAAGAGCAGGAGGAGGAGCAGGAGGAGGACACAGAGGAGGAGGGGGGAGGTGAGGACTAAGACGAGGACGACGAGGAGCGGTAGGAGGAAGAGGCGAAAGAGGGGAAGAACGGGGAGTTGGAGGAGATACGGGGAGAAAGGAGGGGAGGCAGGAGGAGGAGCAGGAGAGGGAGGAGGAGGCCCTTCCGTCTCCCTCACCTTCTCTGACCCCCCCCTGCTTGGCAACAGGGAACGACAACTCGGATGAGAGCGAGGCGCCAGTGGCAGCCGAGGCGGTCCCGCTGACGTCCTTTCTCCGTCTCCTGTCTTGTCTGCGCTTCCTGCTCGCTCCCTTCCTCCATGCTCGCTCCTCACTCTGGCCTCCCTGTCCCGCCTCTCCCTCGCCCCCTGTCCCCCACTCCCTTGTGTTTCGTTGTCCCCCCCGTTCTCCGTCCATCTCCTTCCTCTCCTCCTGCCTCCATCCCTTCCCCTCCCTCACTCCCTCCGTTTCCCATCATCCTGGCCCGCTTCCACCCGTCCCTGCTGCCTTCTTCCTTAGTGTCATCCTCTTGTCTCCGTCCAATCTCCCAAGTCCCTCCTCCGTTCCGTGTCTCTCGAGGCAGGAGCAGAAGGGGAGGATGAGAATCGGAAAACCTCCCGTGGAGCCCCCGAAGCCCTCTAGAAATGTTTTGAATCGGATATAATTCAAGAAACGGTGCTGTCCTTTTCTCTCCTCCTTCGTCGTCCTCTTCCTCACCTCGGCACGACTCGGCCCCGAGGCCTCTTCCAGATATCCATGCTTCAAATAGGTAGACTTCCGCGGCGGCCGAGGTGGATGAAGAGGGAGAAGGGAGAAGGGCGGAGGAGGATCAGAAGAACGAGGAGAGGGGCGAGGGGGAAGAGGAGCAGGAGGACTTTCTCGATGCGGATGAGGTGACGGGTGAGGAAGACGAGAGCGAGTAGACGGAGGGCCAGTCAGAGGGCGAGGAGTAGGAAGGTGGAGAAAGGGTATTCAGGATCTCTCCAGAGCCATACGAAACCCGCTACATTCCTCCAAGTGTCCTAGAGGGCAGGAGGCGGGGGACGAAGGTGAGACAGGAGGATGAAGTCCAGGCCGCTGGACCATGTCCCTCATCAGCCTGGCCTCTCTGTCCCTCCCCTCCCCTCCCTAGCCCTGCTCGCTCCCCCACCTCCTCACACCCCTCCTCCTCAAGCTGACCCATGCCCCCTCCTCTCCCTCCTTCTCATCATTCTCGACCTCCTCCTCCTCCTCCTCCTCCTCCTCCTCCTCCTCCTCCTCCTCCTCCTTTTCCTCAGACCTCTGCTGGCGGGTTTGCCCATAAAGACGGTCGAGGTCCCCGCATCCCGTCGCCTCCTGAGGGTTCGGTCAGGTGGCCCTCTGTCACGGCTGCTGGCCGCTTGCATATACGGACAGCTCGGACATCTACCATGGCCTGTGGTTCCGCGTCGGCTGGGCATTTCACGTCCGCCGGGTCTTCGGCGTCGACTGATTCGGCCAATGTGGTCGGGACCACTACTGGCTAGAGTGCTGATCCATCCCTACCAAAGTGCTCCTAAATCATGTGCCGACTTCTGCGACTGCCGGTTCCTCGGCTCCCCCACCGGCGACGGCTGGTATTTCGGCATCGATTGGGAGTTTGAGCGCACGTCCACGGCCCTTGGGCGCCTGGTTCAGTCGCCGTCTTGCCGTACCCTGGTCGCTCTGCTCCTGGATCTCTGTTGCGGGCCCCCGTCCTTCTGGGTGTGAGTACACAGGTCAATCAGGACATTGCTGCGGTGAATGGAGATGGTACATTTGGCCCCACTCTGGCGGTAAAGGGTTTTCGCGAGTCGGCGAACGGAGACAACGCTGGGCCGCTCAGGAGTTAAGTCGGGCATGTCACCCTACAGGAGGAACATTCAAGAATAGCAAAAGTAAAGTATGGTGGCGATTCTTGTGTAGCTTAGACTATTTCTGATTTGTGCTTGATTGCTGTTTCTTCTCAAATTTGCCTGTAGGAGGACATGCCCGACCTAACTGGGGATCTCTTTCAGGAGCTACCGAGGAGATGTCGAGCGGCGGCGGCGCAGGAGCACCACACGATTGCTGCCAAGTTGCCCCAGGTGGAACGCGACCTGCAGAACCTCGGCTCCCACGGCACCTGCGCACCAGCATGATCATCGGGAGGCGTGGCGGTCTCTGCGCGCCGCTTGGGCCTGCCGAGAGCTGGGTGAACGGATGTCCTGGCGCGGTATCGCGCGGGTGATTCGTCGTTGGTCATGTCCACGCGGGGCTACCCAGAGGACTTGTGGTGCTGACCATATACCTCCACCTGCGTTGGCATGGACCCCGAAATACCAAGATCTTGCGCGAGCTAGCTTCGTACGTAGCGCTGATCGCAGCGCAGAGTCTTGATTGGGCGGTCATTGGGCATTGGAACATGGCGGACGAGCTCGACCAGCGCTGGAACCACGAGGCCCGAGGCGTCCTGGCGCTGCCCACCGAGTCCACCTGCAAGAAGCCCTTGCCTGGTCGGCTCATCGACTACGCGGCGAGCTCCAAGTGCCTCACGTCCAGAGTCTTGGGGCGCAAGGACGATGGACGATAAGCCCACGCCGCCCCCTGCCCATGTCGTCGCATACCTGCCGATCCCCGCAGCGGGCAGGGCCATGTGGAAGAGGGCGCCTGTGAAACATGCGGGCCTCCCTGATATCGGGCCAGGCTGCTCGCGACCGCCGCTCACCTGGTTGTGGGAACAGCACCAGGAGGAGCCCATCCTTGACGCTGACACGGACCAGGCGCTGCAGGACTGCCA